GGGAGATCTCTTAGCTTTACAAAAGACTTGTTCCTAGTGGAATTGGTTTATCGGCATCGCACCACAGAGACGCCTGGATCGTTGGACTCTCCTTGAGGGCATAGATGGCCGTGATGAGCGCCTGAACATCAAGCATTTACCAGCGCATCACCGATGTGCATTATGTGCATCAAAACCATCTCTATTAGCCACAGAATTTAATGATACGTGGAAACTATTCTACGCCCAACATACTTTATAAGGGGAATAATAACAATCAGTGTGTACATACAAACCGACGGTGGTTTTCGGAAATATTGTCAGGGATAAATGTTCATAGTAATGCTTCACTGTTATAGCAAGGAGAGTTATATCAACGGAACAGAATTTTTGAAAATATTGTAGAGATCAACTCTTGTACTGATCTTTTGCTGTAATAGTAGAGTTAAGACAAATAGAACTATTTAAGGACATAATTGTAGCTAGAGTTAAAATTGCCTTAAAAGGGAAGTTAGTTGAATATGCAGTAAGACTAACTATGTAAAAAGATAACCAGTCAAAGAAATTAATGATAAGTGGAAATCACATTGCATATAATTTACTTTTTAATGGGAATAATGACGGGGGGGGGGGGTGTAGGGAATGGAATTTTGCAGAAAAGTGTTGGAGATTGATGTTTGTACCAATGCTTCATTGTATTAGTTGAGTTGTGAACAGAGAATAAGATGAGGATAATGATTACTGACTTACAGCAAAATCTTTTATACTTGATGTTCTGTGTAGTATTTGTTTGAGATCCCTTAGTGTTTTTCCACATTTTTAAAATTATATATATTTTTCTCTCTCTCTAGCTTTTTCAAACTTTACTGCTATTATTTTTTTAAATCCCTGTTATTTCTAAATTTGCATCTATGGGTTTGTTAGCAGATGCAAACTTTGCCCTCTTCCAGGGCTATGCATTTCCTCTTCTTTGGCAATGTGTAAGACGTCTACATCTACAGTAGACATCACCCTAAGGCTAGCTAGGTACTGTTTTAATGAGCACAAAGTGACTGGGACAAAGCAGAGACAAGGGCTAGACACATGCGTACATTTAGGGATCCTAAATCACTTTGTCAAAGTCCACTGGCACATCTAAGGTACCATTTCATTTAGCACCCTGCTATTAGTATTTGGGAAATGGAGCTATCCCTGTGCTGTTCACTCACTTGGATGCTGTCGTTAATGGCTCTTCACCGCCGTGGCAAACAGGAACTAAGTTAGAAGCCTTTTCACCAATGTCAAGCTGCTCTGAACAGGAAGTAATTACCACAGCACACTCCTTACTGACTCCACTGGATGCATCTGTGATTTGATTCACCATCTATCCCCTGAGACCAGTTATCACGTTAAACATAGATGCAACTTTATGAAGAAATTGTTCGTTTTCCTGTTCTCTCTCCCTCACCCTCCTTTTTTCCTTTGCCATAAATGTCTACTAAGCTTGTGACAAAAAACCACTATCTCTCTTACAAGCACTTTATAGGAGTCAAAGTGGCACAAGGCATTTCTACCTTTCAGTGGAAAAATAATGGCTACAAGTTAGAGAGGCAAAACAGGACTGCAACAGGCTGACGTCTTGTGGATTCCCCATAAAAGCAGTCAAGGAAACGGTTTTACAATAAAACGTTGCTTGTTCTGTACGGAGTTTGAATTTTTTCGCTCTTAGACCAATGCCAATGATTTAAAAACTGGCAAAAATGCAAATCTTGCAGAGCATTGAAACTTTTAAAAGTTTTCAAAGCTAGAAATTACAGATTTTTGCTCTAAATGGCAAAATGCAAATATCATTTGAAGAAACCCGGCCAGCTTTAAATGTGTGACTTTCCAAAAGTAATAATACACCAAATATCCAATGCAAAAGACGAATCTATTAATGCTGGGGCATGCTCGTGCTTGTTGCCATGATTCTGGCCTTGAAGATGCACATCTGCATTGTAATAAGATGAGGCAGGTTATTTCCTTCCCCCCGTGTCCCATCCTTCCGTAGACATGTATAAAAATGGATTTGAAGATATTCACAGTCATGCATTCAATAGGATTGATCTGGCTCGATTTATGAGGCTCTGTTTCTGTAAATCATTAATTAAAGGCAGGGTGGAAGTTGCAATCATTCTACATATATCCTAAATACATGCCTGCATTTGAAAGCAGCAGATCTTGCCTTGCCCAAGGCAAATTTCTTCATGCAGTAAAGCAAGATTTTTTTCTGGAAGGGTGTTGAAAATAAGCATCCTGGAGCCCAGAACTTGATTTAATTCATGTGAAATGGTCATTTTGCATGGAGTTCCTCTGCTTTCTGATCTGGTTCATTTGTGTCCTTCAGCTCCTTGGTCAACTTGGAGGTGGGACAAGCTGGCCAGGAGAGGCTCATTGGTGACTTCTCCTTCATGCGTTTCTGCATGAGCTTATGCACGCTTTTGCTTTCTGGATCCAATGAAATAGGGCACCATCCCATTGACTAGGAAACAGGATAGGGCCCTTCAGAGGTTGTACTACAACATCCATCACCCAGCCCTGTGAAGCTAAAGGAAAGAGCTGATGGGAACTGTAGCCCAACAACATCTGGAAGGCCACAGTTTCCCATCCCTGCAGTAAATGCTGACACCACTGGCTCACGCCGTCTCTGGGATTGACGTCGCCAACAATCATGGTGCTTCTTGTCCTTTCCACCAGCTCCTTTGCTCCTGCTTAAGTGTGAGGAACACTGGGACAGGCACTGGTTACAAGAGCCTCTCCTCCAGGGGAGGACAGCGCCTTCTCCCTTGGGTCAACAACCGCCTGCTCTCACTCACGAGCGCACACTCGTCTGTATTGTTCCAAGTTTAGTGTACAAGCTGCCCAAGCCAGCAAGGAAACATTGAAAGGAGAAAAACATGCTAGGCACCCACAGTCCCAGTGGAGGGGTGCACTAAGGGTGGCTTTTTAAATTTTTGTGTATTGTTTGGCTTTTCTTTATTATATGATTTCTGTATTGGCATCTTTTTAAAAATTAAAAAGAAAAAAACAAGCACACACTCGTTTCTTGAGGACGGCCAGCAAGCCACTGCTTGGAAAATTCATTGCTCTGCTCAGTTTCTGACTGGCTGCCACAACCAGGCAAAAACTACACAAAAGGGAGGAAAGTGGCCATAAATACCTTCAGTTTATGAACTACATTCTCCCACCTCCTCATACTACTGGAAATTGGGATGACCCAATGAAGGTGAAGGGCAGGAGAGGCCGGACCAACAGAAGGATGTGTGGGACAGACTCCCACAATATGTGGCAATGGCAACTAACCGAGGGCGCATTCCTTTCTACGTTTAAGATGGGGGAAAGTCCTACAATTGCTGGGAGTGTCAGGTTTTTCTGCCTCAAATATGCATGGGATCGTGGCCTTTGTTGTTGTTAGTCGCAAAGTCATGTCCAACCCATCGCGACCCCATGGACAACATTCCTCCAGGCCCTCCTGTCCTCCACCATCCCCCAGAGTCCACTCAAGCGCACACCAACTGCTTCAGTGACCCCATCCAGCCACCTCATTCTCTGCTGTCCCCTTCTTCTTTTGCCACCAATTGCTCCCAGCATCAGGCTCTTCTCCAGGGAGTCCTTCCTTCTCGTTAGGTGGCCAAAGTATTTGAGTTTCATCTTCAGTATCTGGCCTTCTAAAGAGCAGTCAGGGTTGATCTCTTCTAGGACTGACCAGTTTGATCGCCTTGCGGTCCAAGGGACTCGCAGGAGTCTCCTCCAGCACCACAATTCAAGGGCCTCAATTCTTCGGTGCTCAGCGTTCCTTATGGTCCAACTTAGACGACTCCAAAAGGGAGCTAGACAAATTCCTGCAGAGAGGGCTGGCAAGGGCTATTCGACATGAGGGCTATGTATGTGCCGGCCTCCCGAGAACAGCTCCTGGGGGAGCAATGCAGGAGGGGCTGCTGTGCTGAGGTCCTCTTGTGGCTTCCATGTGGTGCCGTGGTCAGGACTGCTGGGCTGGACCCAGGAGATCTGGGCACTAGTGTCCACCCAGCCATGGAACTTACTGTGCAGCTTTGGGACGGCCAATCACTGACTCTCAGCCCAACCTACCCCACAGGTTGTTGCAAGGAAAAAGTAGAGAGCAGGGGAACCTTGGAAGCTGTTTCCTTGCAAGGGGAAGAAAGGCAGGGCATGTGTGTCAGGCAATAATAATCTAGTTGGTTCCCGCAGGAAGCTGGACGAGGAAGGTTTTTGCTCGGTTCAGCAGAGCTCTCCGTGTTCTTAGCTCCCTCCGTCCTCCCACTTCAGCCATTCCTGGTGGCCTGCTGGCAGCTCTGGCTAAAGCAAAACTGCACTCCATGACTTCAGCTGGAGGACTTTTGGGTGTGGGGGAAACCAGAGGGTTTGGCCAAGGGTAAGGTCCTTTGCTGCCTTTCCTCTAAGATCCAGGGCTGCCTGCACAAAAGTTCCCCTCCACATGTGTGATCACTTGTCAAATCAAATGCAGCACCTTACTGAGGTTTCTGCTTATGTAATTATTTGCAAGATGAAGAAAATCTCTCATACTTTTTTTGCGGGGGGGCTTTCCCTGCCTTGTTAGATGTTTTATTACACAACCACTAGGTGGCGCTGTGGTCTTGCAGAACTGCAGAAATACATAGGCCATAATGCTGGATTTTCCTCCATTTCAAAGGAAGTTGCAGCAGCGGTTTTAAGAGTCCTGGAGGGTAAAAATATTGACTAAAGTGCCCAGAAACTACCGAGAGAGAGGAATCATGAACACTTAAGAAGAGCCTCATGTAAAAAGGGTCAGAGATCCAGAGAAACAAAGCTGAACAGGTAACTTTGGTCAATGCTCAGTAATTATTAAGTTTTGTTTTCACATAGTTACATTCTTTGTTCATGTGACATTTCCTTTCTCATTCTGCATTTCTGAATACAGGAATTCCAGCATCTTCTTACTGAACATTTCAATACATAGTGTATTTTCTACTATTACAGCAGCACAGGTATTTCTGGAAGTTTCACCATTCCGCATCTCCAATGGCTTTGGAAAAAACATAGTCCTTTCCTGCAAAGCACATCACGCCATCCTTCAGGTAGAACTTCCATCTGTTCTTACTTCTCTGAACCTACCATAAAAAAAAGGCCGGATCTGTCAAGAATTGCTCACAACAGCCTTTAAATCCTGCTGCTCGGAAAGTCCACTAAGAAAAAGGTTGCTTTCCTCTTAAAGTAATAAAAATAAGTAATTATTTAAAAGCAAAATACAGATAGCAAAATAAGGCACATTGGAAGTATAGCTACAGTGCACACTTGATGGGCTGTATCCAGTGTTAGACTTGAGTCCCGCTCATTTCAGTGAGTCTAGTCTAAGTAGGTCTCATGCTGGATAAAGCTAGAGTGGTTTATTGAGAGATCCTATGCATGCTTAGACAGAAAAAGTCTTCCAACTCCCAGCATTCCCAGATCAGCCACATTGGCTGGGGAATGCTGCAAGTGGAAGGACACACTTCTGTCTAAAGGTGCATAAGATTGCGCTCTTAGAAACAGTGCCAGCCAGCCAGCCAGCCAGCCAGCCAGAATTGCCCTTTTCAGGGTGCTCCATTCCACCCCATTCCACAAGAAGCGGGACATGACCACTGGGAATTTTCCATCCTCACTGAGATCTTTCAGGTTCCTCCCTCCCTTTGGGCATTGTTTTTCCTGAAAGAGTTTTGCGAACTTTGAGGCTTTCCCAAGCCTACTGCTATTCAAAGAATCATGGAAATTTTATTTTGGAAAAACAGCTGAGACGTCACTGCTTAGTTCCCAGCCTCCTCTAAATGACTCTTCCCACAGTTCCCTGGAGAGAAGAAACACATTAGATCAGCTTAAGCTTGCTGTATAGCTACACTCCTGGACGTGCTCAGCCTTACCAGGTTGCGTAGCACATGTTCTGTTCTGCCCTTATTCAGAAGCATCTAGGGAGTGACCAACATTAGTTCTACTTACAGTAGGCCCATTAAACTGAATGGGACTTCGGTTAGCCATGTCTAACTTATGTCCTGCTCATTTCACTTGGTCTTTTCTACAAAGAACCTTGGATGTGCCCTCTGTATCCAAAGACATTTCTCCACCTTTCCTGCGTGTATGATTCACTGGCAGCACTGGAGCGAAGAGAAATTAAGCTATTGTTCTGCACATTCAGTTTTCTATTCACACCCTCTTCAAAAACATCCCTTTCTGCTTGTTATAAAAAGAAAAAGGAAAAAAAACACATCTTTATCCTAATCTAAAGGCTCATTCCCATGACCTGAAAGACCCAAGTCAGTTCATTCAATGCTGAATATTTTCCCTTAACACCCAAGAAGGAACAGATTGTGTGAAAGCAATCAGTTGGGCTGATGCAGGAGCAGGTCCCCAGAAATTTGGCCACATCACAGCAAGCCCTGTCCTCTCCCCATGCTGCTTTCCAAAAGCTCAGCATATCAGGGATTTCAACCGCGTTGCTGCCTTGCCACAGGTGTAAGAAATCTAATCAAAATTCCCTCATTCCGTAGTGCTCTTTCCCTCACTTTCCGGCTTCTTCAGCCTCTTAGTAGCCCATGGAGCCAGGAGCAAATCAGCACCTGATACAAGAGAGTGCGTTTGGAGTGCAGGTTAAGTGCCAATTCTCCCAGGATAATGGATTCTGTAAATATACTGGAATTCATATTCCTGTCTTTCCCAAAGGACTATTTTATATAGACATCATCATCATCACCATCATCCATTAACAAGGCACTGCACTTCATTATATTAGTACTAGCATTTACACCCCACCTTCGTTTCTCTTGTAAAGAACCCACAATGGCTTTCGGGGTGTTCCGCCTTTCCTGTGAGGCGGGTTAGGCTGAGAGTCTGCAAATGGCCCAAAGTCACCCAGTGAGTGTCATGACTGCACAGAGACGAGAACCTGGATCTCCCGAGTCCCCATCCAGCTCTCAGACCACTCATCTCCCTTAGATGGGCACCTCTGAAAAGGGAAAGTGTGACGGGATCGTCCAGGTGCACTGAAAACAAGCAGCAACTGTTGAATTGCCTCCGTAATGTGTGAAATGAATTGCAACAAATTCAGTTTTCATGCTTCCAACCAAACTAGAAAGACTTTACAGGGCATCTAATTAGCGAACGTGCCTGGCTGTACCTTGTCATACTGGCACACGATGATATTATCAGTGTCAAACACATCGGGGGTCTCCTGCTCACTGACATCATCACCAGAATTTAAAGGGTCCTGCAGAAGAGAGAACACGAAGTTGGCCCAAGCGGCCTCCCCACCAGCATCTCACTCTTGGGGTAAAAACAAACCGAGGCGTCTCTCTTATGCATCGTAACAGGTTACCAGAAATACAGAGGGTAAAGACCGGGGAAGGGCAGGCCACCAGGCTGGCTTTCGGTTCCCATACTCCTTGGCCACTGGCCATTTGGGCTGGGGCTTATGGCGGCTGTAGTCCAGAGCAGTGGGTGGGCACCGGTGCTCTCCCCATGCCGTCATCTGCAGCTGGCCCAAAGTCACCGAGTGTCGAGCACGCACATTCTGGCAAGCTCCCAAGAAGCACGCCAGAAGCTGACCATTTTGGCTGGACTGACAGCTCAGATGAGGAGAGTGAGATGTGTGCAGGGGAACTGGCCAGTCCCGGCAGGGCTGCCAGCTCAGGCTCTGATAACAAGGTGGCTGCTGAAACGGACTCGGCTCCAGCTGCAGTCCGAGGCCCTGGGGACCCCGCTGTGCCTGCGAGGGAAGAGAGTTCAGGGGCAGCTGAGGGGCCAGTCACCCCATCCACGGGAACAAGGAAGAGCAGCAACATCCTCTGGGGAGGGCGGGGGGAGAGATTTAGAGATGGGGAGTCTATCGAATGGAGAACTCCAGCCTCCTGAGGCGGTGGACCCAACGGTCCGTCGTCCCAGTTGGAGGGTGGCCCAACTGGGTCCCAGAGGGAGCAGCACAGGTGTGCCGGGTTCCACAGCACTCTCCCCCCCAAGGGCAGGCGCAGAGGGACTCCAACAAACCGTTGCGTGAAAAGGGCCAGAGAGGGTTCGATATTTCGCTTTGGGTATGCTCAGAGACTTACAAGTAAAATAAAGATTCCTGGCAAGAAGCACTGGTGAGTCCGTTACTGCTGCGAGGGAGAACTCAGCCCACACCCCCTAGTGAGTTTCCTGACTGAGCGGGACAAGGACCCCGTTCTCCAGAGGACCCCTGCACCACCCTGGAGGGTGGTGGGAGGAGCTGGTATCTTTAACTCAGGAAAGTGGCGATTAAGACCTGATACAGCGGCCATCTTCCAGGATCCGAGAGTCTCTCGCAGAGGGTGGAGCCAGAGCAGGACCCAAACCAAATCGCAAGGGCAGGGAGCTTCATGAAAGCTTTCGAAAGTGCTTACTGACAGGGCAAGCTGGGGGGCCCTCGCTCACTAGCCTTTCTCTGAAAGCAGAGCTCGGACGGCAGCCAGCTGCTGGGGTGCTGCGGCAGCAGCGCCTTGCCTGCGCTGGCGGGGATCGGACTGGAGCCCCAGGATCGGTGACGCTCGGTGACACCGTGTGTCGCCTGAGCCTGGCCAAGGCAGGCAGGGACCGCCTCCAGGAGAACAGGGGCCTCACCTCCTCTGTGATGTCCACCGTGGGGTCATCAGTGTCGCCAGTGCTGCTCAGGGACTGATTGTCCGAGGTGCTGTCCTCACCGTCTTCCTCCTCCTGCTCCTCATCTAAGACTTTCAGATCGTCGGCATCGATGATTCCAACGAGCTCCTCGTCATCCCCACCTCTTGGACTTTCCGTCTCGGCCTTGGAAGACACATCACTCGTTCCATCGAGCTGAATGATCTGCTCGAGGTCATTGGCCATATCCGGCGAGTGCAGATCAGACTTGATCTGCACACTGGTATCTAGCTGGAAGGAAAGCAGAGAGGAAGGAAGGAAGGGTTGGCGCACCTGAAAGACACAGGGGTGTTTCTTCCTCAAGCCATGCTGCCTCTGCGGCCTCGCCCACCTACGGGAGATGCTCCAGCAGCAGTTCTGCAGAAGAGCCACATTATAACATTTCACTCGTTTTGGTTTTCCAGGGCCAAGTCAAAGAGCAGAGCGTATGACGAATTTAGGGGTCCTGATCCCAGTTTTCAATCCTGGAAAGCTGACAAGCATTGCACAAGCAGGCATCCAAAGGATCCTGCTTCAGAAAGTGATCCTCTAAAATAGGGGGAAAGAGAAAACTATCGGTGCAATGCAGATCCCTTATTATCAACAGGTGCCTGTACATTAACTTTAAATGGGATGGCCAAGTCTTGAAGTGTAGAAGTCACGATGAAAGAAATCATTTAAATGAAAAGCAGAATAGAAACACTGGAGTTACCTCTTCGGAGAAGGGCAGGTTGGGGACACCAGGCAGGAGGCCACTGTCGTTCAACTCGTTGCCCATAATTATCAGCTCGATTATATCATCAGGGTCCAGGGACTGCTCAAGGCTCACAGGCAAGTCTCCCCCCATGGACAAGCTGCCTGCCAGGACTTCTGTGGGCACTGCAGAGCAGTCTGCTTCAGTCAGCTTTGGGGCAGGAACAGCCTCCTGGACATCAGCACTCTGGGGAGTCACCGGGGAACCAGATGTTTTCTGGTTTACCAGGGCCCCCATTGCAGGTTTCCCCTGGCTCCCAACGGCCTCCTGCATGACAGCACTCCTGGGCAAGGGCTTCTCTTCCATCTCCACTGGCTCAGGGGCCGCACTCTTGGGTGCCTGCAGGCTCTCACTTCTGGGTGCTCGAAGAGATGAGGAATTTGCTTGCATGGTAGAGGGTGGCACTAAGAGCGGCTGGCCCACCGGCTGAAACATGTGTGGAACTGGATTCTGGAGGACCGTTCCACCTCCTGAGGTCTGGGCAACCACAACTGGCATGTTGACCTTATACAGGTGTCCTAAGGAGGAGAAATCAGGAATCATGAAGATGGCTGTCTCCATCAGTGGCCAGAAGGAACTGCTGCAATGAAGACGACTGTGAAAAAGACGGAAACATCCTCCTCCTGCCCACTGCACAACCACCAAGCTCTGTCCATCATCAGCTGATCGAACCTAGAGAGAAAGGTGGACTAGCCTGTCCATAGGAAGCAAGCAAGGAGGTGACCTCAGCATAGGAAGTGGGAAGCCATTCAAGTATAGAGTTACATAATATTATTGTATCGTTATGTATTTGGGATGGGTCTTAATCGGTGGTGCAGAAACTCAGGCCCATCCGGATGATCCACCAGATTGCCACATCCCCTTCTTCTACCCGCAGCACGGATTCCTGGGTGGCTTCCTGGCTTTGGCGCACTTCCCCCGCTCCAGTTCTGTTTTAAACCACTCAGAGGGCTTTGGATATTGGGCAGGATAAAAATGAAATAATATGGATCATAATTTTAGTAATATCAATAAATTCTAAAAATAATTAGGATGAAATGTCTTTCCTGAGGCTTAATTACTGGTCTTATGCGCTTTAGGTGAAATATGATGGTACCCTGCTCTTTTGCCTTCAGCTCCTCCCACCCCTGGGAGTTCCATTCAGAAGGACCCCCATTCAAAAGTCCCCCTGGATGGAACTGGGCCCTTGAGCTGAAAGAGGTTATGCACCCCTGATCTAAATGAACTTGCAGGCCCTCTCAGCCCAGGACCTGAATGGCAGAGATTCCATGACTCTCCAGAAATCGTAACACCCGATTCAAGGGCTTCAGGAAGCACAGATGCCCAAGGCATGATGGTGACATTTTACTGCAGCTGCAGCAGGTCGAGCAGAAACTGGTGATGGGACAGGAGACAGATCGGCCGTTTGTCCCACAAGGCCCAGGAGTGGAGGCGGCAAGTGAGAGGAGCAGGAAGGCAGCCCGTCCTGGGAGCAGCCCGGAAAAGGAGGGAGAGCGATTTCTCTGCAGCGCTGCAATCGCAACCTGGGCGCCTGGCACAAATGCGCCGGTGACACCTCTCTCGAGCATAGCAAGGAACATCCAACCCAGCTGAGTGGCCTGCTGCCCTTAAGGATTTTTGAACCATTCTGGGTGCAATCCTATGTGTATTTAGTCAGAAAAAGTCTTGCAACTCACAGCATTCCCCCGCCAGCCAGGCTGGGAAAGCAAACATGCCCAGGATGGCGCCCCGATCTCCTTACTGCTTTCATTACAGCTCCTGACTGTCAATAATTTGCGTCTCCACACACACACTCCACGGCCCTCCAATATCCCTGTCTCCTATCAAGGCCTTTCTCTGCACAACAAATAGTTTGAACTGTCATTCCCTCTCCACAGGGAAGCCTGGGAACTGTAGTTCTCAGGAGCTGGGGTTAGGGAACTATGAGAATGCACTCTGTAAATTGCCATTGCCAGCATCCTTTAGGGGCAGACCCTAACGTATGATCCTGCAGCACAAAACCGCCTGCGAGCCGCCATCACCGGAGCACAAACGCAACTTTCCTCAGCGTCACCACCACCCGGGGGGAGGCCTGTGGAAGTGCTTACCAGAGGCTGTCTGCAGCGTCACCCCAGCAGGTATTTGGATAGGATAGGCGAGGCCTGAGGGCAGGGTAAGGATCGCACCTGCAGGTCTAGAAGTGCTCTGGAGGAAACCAAAAAGCCAGTTAGACTTTGGGGCACAGTTAGTACCAAAAGCCGCATTTTGAAATCCCCTCGAACCCATGAAAAGGATCCAGCCACAGGGGATTTTTATCACACCCTGATCCCTTCTGGCTCTCAGGCAGTCGAGAAGTGTAACGCGTGCATGGCGAAGTGGCACACGCTGAAGCACAGAGCGCATTATGAGGGTGCCAAAAGCAACACCCCCAAAGAGCAGCTGTCAGGATCCATCCTTCCCGTAATGCCGTAAACCAGCGGGGCCGTTCCATGGGGCTGATCGGTGGACGATTCAGGACGTGGGAAAGGAAGGACTTCTTCGCGCAGTGCAGAGTCAAGCGATGGAATTCAGCTCCACAGAATGTTGTGCTGGCCACCATTTTCAGTGGTTTGAAACTGGACTGGACAAATGTATGGAAGGAAAACCTACCAATGGCTACCTGTCCTGATAGTTTTATTCGCCTTCCAGGATTAGAGGCAGTGCACCCATATTTATTTATTTATTTGGGTATTTTTATCCCATCCAATTACAACATGTCTTTGGACAGCTTACAAACAGAACACCCAATAAATACCTATAATAACCTATAATAATCCACAACTAAGAATAAAACATAATTATAATATTTAAGCTGTAAAATTATGGGAAAATAAAAAGGTCTTGACCTGGCGCAGAAAAGCATACAATGTCAGTGCCAGGTAGACCTCTCTGGAGAGCGCATTCCATAGCCAGAGGGCCACCACAGAGAAGGCCCTTCTTCGAGTATCCTCTCTCCTAACCTCCTTGAAGGCGGGTTCCCGGAGCAGGGCCTCTGCTGCAGCTCTTGGGGGGGGGGGGGGCATATAGGGAAAAAGATGTTCCTTCAGATATCCTGATCCCAAGCCATTTAGGGCTTTAAAAGTTAATACCAGCACCTTAAATTGGGCCTGGGCTCATATACACCAGTTGCTGTGGAACATAGGCAGGCAGGAGGGTGCTGCTGCAGCCATGCCCTATCTGTGGGTCTTCAGCAGGTTAGCAGCTGGTTGGCAGCTTCGTGAATAGAATGCTGGCCCCGCCGGCCCCTGGCCCTGATGCAGCCTGGCTCTTTTGATGTTCTTAACCAATTCTCACCAGGCTCATTTCTGTCGGGAGCAGGCCTTCTGTAAAGGGGGAGTGTCTCCCTTGCCCGCTCCAGACCAAGTATCTCCAAAATACAGCACAATTGCTGGGAAGAAGAACTCCAGTTTAGCTTAGCTTAGCTCAGAGGGAAAAGGGAAGTCTAAGGGGAATTAATTAATAATTATTAATAAAGAAGGCCCAGCACAGCATCCTCGTGAGTCCTGGCCCCACTACGCCACTGATGGGAAGGACTTCCGCATGAGATCCTGGAAAGCTGAATGAGAAGGCCAGGTATACAGTGGCTTTCCAGTTTAAGGAAACTCACAGCTTCACAGCTGCATCTTGTAAGCTGGCCTTCCCCCCTCTGGTGCCCCCCGAATTTGGGCTTCCACTCACATCTCCCCCAGCCACTGTGGCCAGTGGTTATGCGTGCTGAGAGCAACAGCCCAAACCACCTGGAGGGGCTAAGGAGACGACTGGGAGACGCTTTTTAAGAGCTTAGCAATGCCCAGAGAAATCTCAAGAGTGCCGTGAGCTTTACAGCTCCTTAAGCCCCAGCAGACTTCATAGAATCATATAAACAGAGCGAGTCAGAAGGGACTTCCCAGGCCATCTAGTCTGACCTCCGGCACCAGCCAGTTCCTCTCACGACATGCCCACCATGTGGATGTCCAGCCTATCCTTGAACACCCTCACCGATGGGGCCTCAACGACCTCCCGGGGAAGCCCATTCCACACCCTCGGGGTCCTGACTGTCAGGAAGTGCTTCCTGGCATCCAAATGGAACCTTGGCTCCCTGAGCTTTGCTCAGTTGGAGCACATCCTGCCTTCCTCTGCAGGGGAGAACAGGTCTCTGCCCACCTCCGTGTGACACCCCCTCACATACTTCAATGAAACTTGTCTCAGTGATTGTGCTTAAAATGGGAGGCTGAAGTAATACAACCCCAAATCGATCCTGAACTGTTGAAACATGACTGCCATTAGTAGGTGCTTCCCATACAAGTGTCTGTTTGATTTTCATGGGCATTTTACAAAGATTTTGATACTTCTTGAATGACAAGCGCCTGTCAATGGCTGAGCCTGCAAATTTTTTGATCCTGATTAAAAACTTAAGTCTTTTGGCTTCCTGTGACATGAGAGAGATTACTGGGTGATTTGAAAGCTACCTACCAATTCAGCAACGGGTGCTTGTGTGGTTGTAGAAGTAAACTGTCGAATTCCTCTGCCAGCAGCAACACCTAATGGGAAAGTGTTTCAATCAAGGGTGAGTATCAGGGCACCATTTGCAAAAGAACCAAAACCACTGGATGCAAGTCCTCGCACTGTCCACATCGCCGTTTGGCACCAGCAAAAGTCAGTCCCCAGGGCCAACCAACGTCTGAGGCACGTGCTTAGCCGCAGATGCAGACAGCCACAGCAAGCGCTCTCTTCGTGCAGTCTCTCATCAGCAAGCCCGCCCGCCTCTTTGACTAGACTGCTCTCTGGGACTGCGCTTCATTCCGAACTCCGTGATCAAAGAGCACTGGGCAGCTGCCAACCAGACCGACGCATTTGCCACTGCGATGCAGGGTGGCCAGAAGTCCCATCCATCTCAGGGGGGTTTCTGGATGCTTGCTGAAGGGCCTTCCACTTAGGGTTCTCCCCTCCCCCTCCCCACCATACCACAGCTCACTCCATTCAGCAGGGTCTGCTGATGCTCTGTGCAGCATTTTCAGAGGACTGGGAGGTCTGCCATGGACCGAAGATGAGTGGAGAAGGCCACCTGCACCGGCACAGCCAGTCCAGCTCACATCTACCCCTTAGGTCAATACTGCTTTTGCAGCACTGCTTCTCACAATATATAAAGTATGGCGCGCTCTCTCTCTCTCTCTCTCTCTCTCGCTCTCTCTCTCCTACACACAAACAGAGAAAGAGAGAGAGTTTTAAATACCTCTGTATACACATCTGGGGACTCTGATCCATTTTTTTTTATTAATTTAAAGTTTTTCTATGCCTCCATTACTAAAAAAAGTCTCTGGACAGCTTACATCTTTAAACACCAGAGAGGTGTCTAAAGACGCCTATTATGAACAAACATGTACGGCTACGCAAAAAACGGAAGCGTGAAGGCAGCACACAGTCCAGTTACAAAGGGTTCTTCTCAGCTCGGCCAGATCTAACAAGCATCACAGCAGGGGCAGACGTCTGGTGCCCCCCACCCCCCCCACAGAAGTTCTGGCCTACGACTCCCACCCGGTATAACGAAGGATATTGAAAGTTCTAGGCCACTGGAAAGGAAAAAGGAAAGCAGTAGAATTAAAAAATCTGTTGATGCACAGAATAATTTTTTTTTCTTTTTTGCAAACTCTCAGAGCGTGGGAAGATATGGAGAGAGTCAGTTTTGGGGGCTGCAATACATGGGCTGCATTTGTTTATAATTCTCTTGGCAATTGTTTATTCTGTTCACTTTAGTCTGTTCTGTTTATATTAGTTTTTCTTTTATTCAACATTTTCTTCTATGTTTTTGTGTATGTTAAGTGTGTGTATATATATTAAAGGAAAGTTCTAGGCTGAAACATTGGAAAGGCAAAATGTTGTCCATCCGTCATTAGGGCAACCACAGAATCCATGCCTGGAGCGTTGCCAACTGAGCAAGGGATGGTTAGGGTAAACGTGGGACCCCCTGGAGGACTGCAGGTCAGGGGGAGGCTGTCTTAGGTGAATGGGCAACTTTTTACGCCAGTCTCCAGAGCCAGCTTTGCCCCAGCTTGCTGGAACGCTGACCATATTCAAGCTCCATCCCCTGCTCCCCAAGGGGATGGGGCCAGAGCCCAGGACTGCAGCCCTGACAATTATTATTTCAAGGGTAGGAAGGGAAGCCGTTGTGCTCAACAGAGGTGGAAGCCCACCAAGCCTGGAGCAACTAGTCTTTCGTCTGGAGCCCTGCACCTCTGGAAGGCCGTCTGCACCACTGCTCTACTGCCCGTGGACGCTTGCTAAAATACAGGTACAGAGGCCCCGGTGGTCTCTGTAGCATCCGATCCCTTGGATTAGCTGGCTTTTTGCCCGCATATGCTTTACCTCTTGTCCCCACACCTTTAAATCTTTCTGCCTGAGTGTGTTCTGAAATCAAATGCTCTACTCTCCCCTGCCGATGCATCTCTGTTTACAAATAGAGGTGCCCTTAAAAATACTTCCTTTAAAGACACACCCAGATTTTAGATCATATATACATTAGGACATAAAAATCAGTACATGGTTTTGTTCTAGCAGTGCTTAAATGAAGCCACCAACCTTGGATTGCAGCCAACCAAGGGATGAATGGGGGACAGAACGGCCTCATTCTCAAGGGGAAAGCAGAAATTTTCAATGCTCCCAGAGCGCCACCTGTGTTCCACCTAGACCAGAATTGTCTACTCTGCCAGGCCTTTTAGGTCTCAAACCCCCAAAAGGCTTTTCCTCCATTATTTGCTGCCCTTTAAGGTAGAAATGCCAGAGACCAAACCTGGGTCCTACCACAAGCAAAATATGCGTATATGGTTTAGTATGAAGATGCTTCCCGCAAAATACACAGACACACACACTGAACTTAATATAAACAGTCACACAGCTTTGGTCCCTCCCAGTTGACAGACTTTGCTGAGAGAAACCAGCCACGACCTGTTGATGCCTGCAGAGCTGGGTTGAAGCTGGGTGGCAGATGCAACGTGAACGGGGGCGAAATGTGACTGTGTCGGAAGAATCCTTCCGTCGCTTTAGACTGCATCACTTTTGTTTCCCAGCGCTGCAATAAAGAGATTCAACACACACATGAGAAAAGCAGTCATCTTACGTTAACTCGATGGATGGATGTTTGAGTGTGCAATTGGATTAGCCCTGCAGGTGTGAGCAGGCTGATCACTATGGTCATCCTGAAAGAACAGGCCAATGCGTGATCAGGGACTTAACAGAAGGGCAGAATGTTTCCCTGATGGGAAATTTACTTGCAAGGTGGAAGCTTACAGCAATCTTCTGCAGGATGCAGGTGGGACTATAAAGCCATCAGCTGCAGTTGGGGTACAGGGGCAAAGATTTCAGGTTTGTAGATAGCCATCAGCTTAGCACATGGGGCACGATCTTTTGGATTTATATTAGTTACTTCTGAGGAATCTGATACAGGGTTAGTGAGTGCACTGCCTGTCTGTTTGTGTCTATTATGCTAGTAACATCATCATTGGATATCCTACTTTTCCCCTCTATTAAGGAATCCAAGTGGCTTATGTAGTTTTTTCCCTCTTTGATTTATCCTCGCAACAACAACCCTGTGAAGTAGGTTAGGCTGAGAGTCAGTGATTGACTGGACCAAAGTCACTCAGAGACGTCATGACTCCATGGATTTCTTAAGTCCTACTCCAACATGCTAAGCAAGGCACTGCAATGATAAGTTTGTGAATAAATATTCTGAAGACTTGGAGGACACTCTTGGTGTCTTCTGTGCATTTGTGTACGTGTGTACGTGTGTGTGTGTCGTATCTGTAGGAAACTGAGCCTGATTAAACAACCCCTGAACTTTTCGCTTCTGAGGGAAGCACCTAACAATGAGACAGCCATTCCAAAAGAGCTTGACATATTCGAAAGCAACTATGTGAAAGAGCATAGGTATAACAACCCAATGCACAACATTTTGGTGGTTGCAAAAGCTGGGAATTCAAATACTCTGATACGACTCATTTCTGGACTCTCTTCCATGTATAACCGCAGAGGGAAAGGTGCTGTCAGTCACTAATGATGAACTAAACCAGCGCTCTGCACTGAAAGCCAGTGGTGTTGCGGTTCAGAGTGCAGGACTGGCGCTTAGGTGATCTGGATCTAGTCCCCGTCAGCCTTGGAACCAGCTGGATGACTCTGGGCCAGTTGCAGGCGCCCAGCCCAGGGACTGTCATTGTGAGGATAAGTGTGAGAGGAAGAGGGAAATTATGTAAGCTGCCTCAAGTTCCTTGAAAGAAAAAAGGTGGGGTGTCGAGGTGGAGCCCTTCAGGAGTGTTGGACTACAGCTCCATCACCCCAAGGTAGCACACTGCCTGGGGATTATGGAAGTTGCAATCCCATCTGGAAGGTACCAGGTTGTGAAATGCCGGACCAAACTGTGAAGGAATGAGAATGGAGTGCAGGAGATGGGCTTTGAAGTGACACACTCCCAATTAGGACTATAAAGTGTAGGGGCAGAGCAGCAGAAATGAAGCAGAACCATTCCACAAACCCGCTTCAGCTCTTTCAGGACCTGATCATCTACGCCTTCTTCCACGAACACATCCCGGACGCAATCGATCACATCATCAATGACCGATTTGTAGAACTTGGGCTGCAGAACACATGAATTGTAGAATGAGAGTTAAGGGTTGTCCCCCATGCTGCAACTCCATGGGAGAACAGAAGCAGCATCTGAAGGCAGAATCAAGCATCCTGGGCATCTCAGGTTTTCCTCTTCAAAATAATCAAGTTTCCAGTCCTTATGATATGCTTAAACACAGGTGGGCAAGGACAGCTGAAAGTTCAGAAGCCACAGAAGAGGCCTGAATAAGGTTTGCCATGCCAGTGGGATTAACGTTATTAAACTCTGCACTATTCATTTAGCTACAATCTTATACAAATGCAGTTACTCAGAAGTAGTAATCCTGCACAGAAAACATGGACTGCCTGTGGCTTTCCTAAAGTATTCACCTACAGGCCTGATCATAGGCCAAAATAGCTGAAGGACCACAAGTTGCCTGTCCGGACTCAACATATAAAATACGCAATAAGTAATCCCATTGAGTTCAGCAGAGCTTTCCTTTCCAGTAAGCGAGTGTTAAGATCACAGCCTTAGTCCAGCAAGCAAACCTTACTCACAAGCGCACACTGATATTATTGATGCTACAGATACAAAACTCACAATTAAAAGACACAAAATCCCCACTGAGATCAAATCAGATTAAATCAAAAATCAAATGACTCATGCAGCTGCAGCTTTCTAGAGAAGGCGGCTTTGCCTTCTTCCAGAAAGGGGAGCTGATCTTTTATGAACACCAAGGAAAACCACTGCTATTGGACCCGTGCCTGCACACGCCCTCGTTCAAACTTGGCATGTAATACGGTAAAGACAGCTCTCTCGGGCTGTGACCCGCTCCACACTGACCTGGGAGTAAATGCAGCTGAACTCAATGGGGCTTATTCCTGAGTAGACACTCGCAGGATTGCAGTGTCGGCTGCTCTTCACCATTAGTACGAAATGAGAGATGGCCTCAGAGGTGAAAACTAGCTCCCACAGGTTGCCCAGGAGACAACAGGTTGTGAGTGCAGAACCTGAGCTGAGTTTCCTGGGGACTCAGCCCAACCAGGAAGGGAAGGCTGGATTCCACACGGCCGAAGTCTTGGCTATTTTCCAGTCTGTTCTACGGGTCAGAATGACAAAAACCTGGAGCAACTTCTTTGAAACTAGCTAAAGGGACCAGTTGTTCTATGTAAAAAGAGTGGGAGAGCAGAAACCCAGAGAAGAAGGATTGTGTTTTCTTGTTAAGGTTTGATGAAGTGGGTAGCTGGGAGCTGGCATCCCTGGGAATCTGCCAAAGCACACACCCTGAAAGGTGTCTACCACCTTTCCTTGCTGCTGCGATCTTCATCTGTTCCCTCCAGGTAAGTAGGCATAGATAGGAGACCAGAGACGCCCACCACCACCACGCCCTTCTCTCTTGCAGGTGGGTGGACTGGGCCCAGAGGGAGGAGGAAGCAAATGGCCATCAGCAAAGAAGCTGAACTGGTTTTGGAGGCCCCTCAGCCTTAATGGGACATTTTTTTCTTGGAGTAGACATGGAATAAAGGAAGGTAAAGGCTAGCTGGGAAATGCTGTGAGCGCCAGGATTTCCCCCTGCCTCATTTAAGCAAGCATAGGGCTGTACCCCAAATATGATTCTTCCATTCTGACTTTTGTTCTTACCTGTGAATGTATAAAATCATGCCTAAACAACATCACAGGTTACCTAAACCAATAAGAACACAAGCTAATGCATGTTTGGACAGGAAACTGTGTGTCACCCAGAGAACTTTGACTATGGGTAGTGTAGAAATGAAATTAATAATAATGATATAACTGCATTTCCCATGGTGGCTAAGAAACCCTGGCAGTTGTAGGGGGTTTATTCTGTCCAAATACCTTTAGAATTGTGACTTTAAGGAACTAAATTGGCCACTTGGCCTACCAGTTCAGAGGTAGTTCAAGCTTTTTCTTTTAAGTGTATTGCTTTAACTAAAAAAGATAAAAAGGGTCTTTGGGGGATCTTTCCCACCTGGATCTCAATATAAATTAGCAGTTTAATCCTACATATCTGTTATGCCAATAGGCTTCATATTGTTTCTTAATCTCCCAAAGAGGTATCCCAAGGAAAGTTCAAATGTGGTATACATACTGGAGCATATGCTGAAACCACAAAATATTTTTGAAGTATCCCTAAGTAATTGCTTTCCTACACCTCTTATGATGGGGTCTCTGCAAGGGTTGCTACAGTTGCCCCCTGGAAGGTGGGTGGAGAAGAGCCCAGCTGGGGCACCCCAAGCCCTGCTAGTCCAGCATCCAGTTTCCAACTTCTAGGAATCACAGTAACGTGGCATGAAGCTAATGCGCCCCCCACACGCGCGCGCACCCTAAGCTGGTGTTCAAAGGGGCACTTCCCCTAAACAAGGAAGTTCCATTAAACTACCACCCCTCTTCTCCCCCAAGGGCGAACCAGTTTGGCTGAAGTAGCCTTCTTCCAGATGTGCTAACAACTTCTGGAGGGCACCAGAAGGGACTTCTTGTGGCAGTGAATTGCCAGAATTCTGGTATGAAGTGCCAGAAGCCAAGGAGAGGCCCGGGGAGAAAGAAAGATGCAGCACGGGCTGTTTTAACTTGCACCTCTGGGGCAGAGCTAGTTAATAACCAGCCCTTAATATCTAGGATTACTCTACAGCCCTTAAAATGTAGGGTTGCTCTTCACGTGAGAAAACCAAGCCGTTCCTCGGAGCCTCACTGATCCCCGCGCCCAGAAAGGTCTGCTCCGGCCGGGCCGGGCCCTCGTCCTCCTCGCCCCACGCCTCACCACTGGGTTGCCATGAGCCATCCCTCCTCGCTCCTCCAGCAGTTGACCGGGCCTCCGTCCCGGGCGCTCACGCCGTCGTGGTGCCCAACGCCCGCCCTCGCGCGCCCCCTGGCGGTTCCCGGGGCAACTGCCGAGACCCTACGCCGCCCGCGGTTCTGCAACGGGCGCGGATCAGGTGCCGGCCAGCGAAGAGCCTGGAGATAAGAGGGCGGGGGCGAGGCGCAGCAGCGGCTCTTGCTGACCTTATCAGAGCCCGTCCCAAACTAATTGGGATTATAAGGAAGGGCTGTGCGGCCTCTGCAAATGTCAGAGTGCGTCCTTCATTTCACGGTGATCGCGGGGATGAACCATACGCAACTCTCCCTCTGAGACACGGGAATGCTTCCCCACGTTTTCCAGCGCAAGCCTAGGTCTTTTTCCCTTTGAAAATTAATGCAGAAGGCTGTTCTTCAGCAGCAGCAGAGGTGCGCGTGTCTGTTGGATTGGACTGTTTATTGCTCGTTCTCATCCCCGGGAATCCTGGCCTTGGTTAGGCATAAAGCCCAACAAAGCCGCCTTCAATTCTTCCAAGCAAGCAAGCGTGGGAGCAGAGCTAGTTTACTTAAGAACAAATCCAAACATGTTTCCCAAGATACCCCACCCCCATATTTGTTTCTATTTATTTCAAATCGGAATAGACCTACAGAATTTCTGGACTACAACTCTGGTTAATGTCAGAGGATTATGAGAGAGAAAGAGTTCAAAAGATCTGGTGGATGTTCCTGCTGTAAAGCATTTTCAAAGTGGCTTTTCTGTGCTGTGCATCCTCACAGAGTGAGGTGCAAATAAATATCAAAGGTAAGAAAGAGAGGATGGAATTGCCACATGAAAACAAGCCTTGCCCAGACACAGAATGGGGAAAGGTGTGTCAAATGGATTCCCCAATTCTGGAGACCACCATGAAGAAGACCTTACCGCTTGAGCACATCAGCCTGGTCACCCATAATAGCAGCATTGGTGGTGTTGTATGGGTGCTGCTGTTCAGTACAAAGGATTTCAGTCTTGAACTTGTCCTTACTCAGAAGTAAACAGCAATGGTTTTACTGCCTGGAATGGACACTGCAGCCATTTTAGGCTAGCAGTCATGTGGGGTACTCTTAACCAAGCTCTGGAAAATATGGGTTGTGAAATACCTTTTGCTGTTTTATGGGCTAGGACTGACAACTTTTTGGATGGGTGCCTGTGCCTTTAACACAACCTGGCCTGAGAGATTCAGGGACAGAGTTTCACCTGCTAGAATTCCAGCCTGTTCAGTTGCTTAAAGGCAAAGTAGCATCACTGCAGGGGTGGGGGAGGCAGTGACTATATCATGGACAAAAGGCAGAAAAGTGCATCGCTTGCCTGTATCGAAGGCCAACTGAGTGAGCTGGAGCCCAGGAGATTGCTGAAGCTTGCTGGTGATTCCAGGCGAGTCCCTGACTCTCAGCCTGACCTACCTCACAGGGTTGGCATGAGGATAAAGCAGAAAGGATGCTCATGTAAACCACCTTGGATTCCTTGCAGAAAAAAGGCTGACTATAAAAATAATAAACAGCTCATCTCCACTTAAAAGAGATTTTAAATGGGAAGGGTTCATCATAGTTTAATGATCAGAAAGGTGTTCCAGCAGAGTGACCAAGTGCCAGGAAGTGGGTGGTTCTACCTTGCTGTACAGGTGAATGAATCTGGGAAAGTCCTGCTTCTCTCACACCTGAGCTGGTACATCATTCACAGGAGATGCTTGCTATGAAGATATTGACATGCAATGCCCTTGATGGCCAGTTTTTATTTAAAGGGAAAGGTCAGGCCACTACAGCGTGGCGTACACCAGCCTTCCTCCGTGTGGGGCCTCCAGATGTGCTGGACTGCTATGCAGATCACCCCCCAGTCAGCATCTGGAGGGACCCAGATTTGGGAGACTGGCCTGTCCTGGTCAGCAGCTTCTCTCCAGGGTGTCAGAGCAGGGTCTTTATTGAGCCCCTGGAGATGGAACCTGGGGACCGTGTGCGTGCTGAGTTGGTGGTCCTTTTGCCACAGTGGTGCAGCCCTTCCCCCACATTCGCCTCCTGCAGCTTCAGGATAAAATACTCACAATACAGCTAACAGGGCATATATAGAAACAACACAGCTAAGGTGCGATCCTATGCATGTTTAGGCAGAGAAAAGGCCTACAATGCCCATGTGGCTGGGCATGGTGGGAGTTTTAGGATGGTTTTCTATCCAGGATTGCAGCCTTTGGGTGAGGCCAGCATGGATGCCCCTAATCCCTGAACTTGGAGGCCTCCAGGCACCCAATGCAAGGCAGTAGCTGCTATTTCTCCTCCCTGCTTCTCCCATCTTCCACATCGGCCAAATGACCCATTTTGACCACCAAGCCGAGACTCTTCAGATGAGGCGAGAGGGAGGCTGGAGCACTGTCCTGGCGGGCTGCCCCCTCCCTCCCTGACCCCCCAAACGCTCTCTTCATCCCTTCCCTGAGGTCACTGTCATGAGATGCAGCCAGCATGGTCCTTTCTGCACTGGCTCCAATGAGGGAGGGCACCGTGTGAGCAGATCCCCAAGTCCACCGCCAGGGCTGCATCTGCGCTGTGAGCCTGACCCTTGAAGCCCCAACCGTGAAGGACAGGCTGGACATGCACCTGGTGGGCATGTCATGAGTGGAGCCGGCTGGAGCTGGGGGTCAGACTAGATGGCCCGGGAGACCCCTTCTGACTCGCTCTGTTTCTGTATTTCTATGTTTTGAAAATTGCTAAATACACTATCGGGTCTGATCAGGAAGAAGCAATCCATTCAGAGCGTGTGCATTTCTCTTTAAAGAAGGAAATCTTTTCACTGGGGCTCTGGCAGTAGCATTTCCGTTACACTGTGTTTGCAAGAATCGCAGATCTGGCTCTTTTTTGCAGCCGTCGGTCCCATAGCGCCATCTGCCTGCTGCTGGGGGCAATGCTTACCCGCTGCACAAAGCATCCAGGGCAGTGGATTTCAGCCATTATGCATCCTTTAAAAGGAAGGGATTTTAATGAAAAATCCCAACAGTTCCGTAATTATATGGGCAGGCTACCGCTGTAAATGCTTCTGTAATAATATGGTAAAACTCCAACCTCCTGAATGGGAGAGAGGCATTTTTTCTTCAAAGCTGTTCTGCGTGACAACGGAATTCAATGACATGGGCTTATTCAGCAGTAGAAGGAAGTTCCTTAGGTACAGCTATTGAAATTCATTTGAAATGTTGTCCATGCAAGCCATTAGGGAGGGGAAGACACACTCACAGTCCCAAGGATACATTTGATTTATTTATTTCATTGAAGTACCACCCAACAGCCGAAGCTCTCTCATTCTTCTAAATGAGAATTTTATGGACTATGAAAATGTAATACAATTGCAAGGAACTGCACTGAATGGATCTTTCGAGTCCCCAAATGCTGTTTTGGCAGACAGAATACTAAGGAAAAGACTGACCTGCTGTTACAAGCTCTGGGAGGTCTCCTGCCTCCACGGACAGCATCCTTGTGCTTGCTTCTTGAGTGCCAGGTGTTTCTGCATGCAACAATCATGTGGATCTTTTGGGCATAGCATTGGCTTTAATGACCCTGGTGTGCCTGGCAACACTCTTCTTGGATTCTGCAGGAAGATTTGATTTTTAAGGAGGAAGCATACATCAATCAATTGGCTAAAGAAGGCATGTGCTACTTAGGACTCTCCAGACGTTTTGGCTACAACCTCCCTCAGCCTTAACTAGCATAGCTAAAGTTTCAAAGCAATTGGAGGCAACATCGTTTAAGGCCACTGCAATAGTCCAGCCTTGCGCATACACTGGACTGACTGGGAGATGAACAAGCAGGTCCCAGAACAATCGTGTGAGAACTTGCACTGGAAGCAAAAATGATCAAGCTAATGAAACGAAGGCTATCCTGGATAGGGCACATCACAGAATCATGGAATAGTAGAGTTGAAAGGGGCCTGTAAGTCCATCAAGTCCAACTCCCTGCTCAGTACTCCAAGTGAAAGTATTCATGGCAGAGGACTAACTCTTTGAATGCCTCCAGTGTGGGAGAGCCAACAACCTCCCGAGGTCATGGGTTCCATTGTCATACTGCTTTAACAGGAAATTTTTCCTGCTATCCAGCCAGAATCTGGCTTCCTGTAACTTAAGCTCATTATTCTGTGCCCTGCATTCGGGGCATCACAAGAAGGCAAGACTCACTGGAGAAGACAATCATGTTACGGAAAGCTGAGGGTGGAAGAGGAAAAGGAAGTCCAAACATGGGATGGATCAACTTCATTTAAAAAGCATTGGCTGTGAGTCTATAAAAGCCGAGGAGGGCTGTCCTAGGCAGGCATTTTGGAGGCTACCCATTCCTGGGATCACCTTAAGTCGGAGATGACTTGATGGCGTGTTAACAGGAGCTTAGCGCGAAAGACGCCTGCCAGATCTGAACCTGCAAATGTGCGGCAGGATAGAAACACTGCACGAGGAGACATGGGGTGGGCTTCTGCTTTTTTTAAGGTTTTTGGTGCTTCCAGATAAGGATTTTAATGTGCAGTCCTGCTACCCACTCATGGAATTGGGAATTTCATAGGGAGCTCCAAACAATCTCGCCTTTGCTTTGTAGCCCTCCTGTGTGTTCCCCTGCTGCTGCTTATCAGGAAAAGTCTGTAGAAGGAAGCAAAGACTGAGCAGTTTCACATCGTCTTCGGATGGTTAGCTATAGGGGCCCTCTGCCTACTCTGTCATCACCACACCCACACCCACACAAAAATTGCACATGTGGCGAGCACCGCCCTGAACACACACACCCTTCAGTGTCAGCCCTAAGATTGTCCGGGGGAGCAGGGAATTCAAGCAGGCCAGCTTCGTTACTAGCATCCAAGACTAGGAAGATGCAGGATGCACCAATCAAGAATGCACTTGCACCTGATGGTGGCACTTATGGGGCAAAGCCCTTTGTCAGCCCCAAACACAGCAACGTTTAAAGCCAGTACACTCCAGAAACGGCACATGC